TGTTTATTACCAGCGTGCAAAGAAAGTCGTGTCCGATAGTGCGGGGCTAGTGGATTTTGCTATCAGGCTAGTGATTTTTGTTCTCAACTTGCCCGACAGGCAAGTGCTATTTATTGGGGAAATTCAAATTACAGAAGGATTGTAATCAATCCTGCTAATCAAAAAGGGTTTTGGGGCTAGTTGAAATGACTTGTGGGCTAGTACAGGCTAGCCACAGCTTGTCTGAATGACAGGTTGTAAAACTGACTTTCTTTGCACCCTGATTACACTTTCATCTGCCAGATGTTTGAAACACCCTAGAACTCTTGGTTTTGTGGGAATACATCCTCTAAAAATTCATCATCTGCAAGTTTGCAGAATGCTTTGCATGGAATTGACACTCTTGTCATTCTGTCAAGGGAGGACATCAATATAGGGTGAAATGCATATTTATTTATTTTGTTTTCTATGTTTTGGAATATTTTTGTTGCAGCAAGGGTTGCAAACTCAAGCTTAACTTTTCACAACACTTTGAGACACAATGTGAGACATGTGAACATCAATGGATAAATTACACTCTTCATGAAATACAAACACAACAAAATATTGGAAAACAAGATGCTTAATGCTTGCCCAGTTATGTCACAATATTATATGTAAAATGTCTTAATTAAGAATACAAATGTGATTAGGAAGTGAGACCCCAGACCCCAACTCTAAAACCTAACTGCAATATTTATTTGGAGCTTGAATCAGTGGCTAAAAAAGCCCCATCAAGTACCAAGATTAAAAACAAATTTCCATTTATGCACCTAATATTATTTACCTCCCTAAAGCAGTGGACACCCAAAATGCTTCGCACAAGTTTACACTCAGTCTTCACAAACTTGTAGGTCAGATGATATTTTTCTGTGGAAAAAAAGAACTAACAACTCTTACTATCTTTCAAACTATAGAGAGAGATTGCAGATTGTCCATACAAGAAACAAAGGCATGGTAAGTTTTTATTACAGTAACTGAGAGGTGTTTCTGAATGTTACCAACCACTTAACAAATTCCCTCACATGTCCTCCTTAGGATTCCTTAGATTGCAAAGTATTAATGATGTATTACAACCCCCACCCCGCCCCCAACACTCTAAAGAGCAATATAACTTGTGAACAATATAAAACACAAACACAAACCAACTGCCCTAAACATTTCCTGAAGAGACAAGACTGATGAGTCAAATTGTTTTACGTTAAAGTTGACAATTATTTCAAAATACTCTTTCAGTACTAAAAGATGACATACATGCCACAACACTTTGAAATATTTTTATAAATACATACATAAATTTGTCTTCTTTTTTATTTTAAAGCACTAATGAATATGTATATAGATATAAGTGCTCTATAAGTTAATAGATATTACTAATATATTTTTCTCACCTGCTTCTGTTTTTGACTCTGGAGGCAAAGCCAACAAAAGCACATGTGGAGAGAAATGTATCTGGGGATATTTCTTGTTGGGACCACTCCATTTGATAATGCTGCAGAGGTAACAAAGAACAAAATGTTACAGCGCAACAGGGAAAACCGTGAACACCTGAAATATGTCAGGAACGTTATTCCTGTCCAATCACACGTCCGTAATCCTCTCGCCAAAATGCAGGGTGTTTACTGTTGTTTGTGCAACAAGAACTGTGTTCTTGTTATAAAATCAAATGGTTAACGCCAATCCATTCGGAAAGTTTCAGAAAATGTGGGCTGTGACTTCAGGTGATGCAATTTTTTTACTCTTTTTAGTCTGTTCAGTTGATTTGGATATACCCTGTAGCAGGTAGTTCTTCCACCACGACAAAATTTACGGTTTTATGTTTATGCACAAGATTTCCATACAGGTGGTTTGTGTGAATGGACAGGAAGCATGCCCACAACAACCACAAAATTCCCAGGTTTACGGGAACAGGTCCATTTGCCTTGCTCACAAAAATGATATATTTTTTATTTACAAAGTTATTCAAACTAGTTGCTTCTTCTTTCTATAAAAAAGTAGCCGACCTCTATGAGCAAAGTAGCCAATGTGTTTTGTCGGCCATCAGTGCTTTTTGAAACCCCTACACTCACTGTAAATGCCATATTCTTAGCACTGAACTCAGATGCTCATCTATTCAAAATAAGGATGACGTCTCGGTGATCACAAAACAGGGTCTGGAGAGGGGAGGGGGTCAGATTCCACAACCCCTTTTTCACAAGAATCCTACATCCCAAGCTTTTGTCATCACCTTCCCACATATAAGTTTCTTTCCCAGTCATACATCGTTGCCCAAATGTTTTGGACAAAACTCACTTCCCAGGTAGCAGCCGCACCCGTATTCTGTTAACATTTCCTGAACCCTGGGGCCTGTTTCTCGAAAGTCCCGGTAACTTTTCGGGCCCGAAACCAAATATTCAAATCAAAATATAAAGAATAAGAATGCCGGTCCTGGCTACAAATTACTCCATTTTGTTTCATTAACTGATAGTTTTATCATGTTAGATGCAAAACTATTGAAACCTTAATCTTTAACGTAGACAGAGACAGCTTACCAGGCCCGTTAATTATCGGGACTTTCAAGAAACGGGCCCCTGCTCTGTATTTTGAAATGCTGAGCAGGCCTTTTTATCAGTCAAGCTGGCTATTTTACTCAACTTCACCTTCACAATTTCCCCATGTCTTTGTTTCCCACAGCAATTTGAGCCAGCAGTAAGCTCTTTTTCAGTCGGTGAAATAACCAGCAGCCAGCTGTTAGGGACATCCTTGATTTTAGCCAAGATCCTGGGAATACCCTTCAAGACCCTTAGAAAACGGTTGGCACTTGCAACCAGTTGATTCAAGTGCAGTGTGCTGCAGGATCAATGAAGGGCTGTGTGAGTTTCAGGCTGGCAGCAAATCTCAGTGCACACAGCTAACAATAGCCCTACACACAAGAGATTTCC